GATAATTTGTACGATTGAAGTTATTAAATTAGTGTAAGTTCAATAAATCCTCTAGAAATTGATTGAAATTGAATGAACGATACTTTTTATCACGACGCAAAAATACACACATACAAAATACCTAACATAAAAATCAGTAGTATTAAACTAGTTTTTGACTACACTTTATCCTTAAAAATACACTTCACAACGAACACATTATATGGTTTCAAAATTGTAGATTGTTTCGATAAATGTATTAATAAATACTTCGTCACTTACTTTAATTGACTTAACATTTTGTAATTTGTACCTCCGGCTTCTTATATTCCACTTCTTATCTTTCCCGTGATTTATCTGGTGGAAGGTGATTAGTTAGTACCTCTGCCCGACCTCTGCCTCTGAAGCAGCGACCACAGTGAAGCTGTTTTCATCAAATAATCAGTAATGTTAGACATACTTTGAGCAATTTCAAACATGCACTATGCTAAAAATACAGCAATACAAACTAATACTTGTTTCTGTATAGATTTAGATTGTGCAACAATAAAAATACCCCCGCCGCAGCAAACTGCTGACTAAGCGAATTTCCATTTGTCTAAATTGATTTTCAATTAAATCTATTTAAATAACATTAGGTCTAACGAGTACTTAGGTTTGCTGCTACAAGGAAACTAATAAAATGCGTTTTTTAGTAAAATATTAATAGCTTAGTACAAAATAAATATATTTGCCAAGTTTGATCAAAATATATTAATAAACAAGCAAACCACACCATTTTACAATATTCTCCATAAGAATAACATGTGAATTTTAAATTTACAATTTTTTTGAGTTGTCTCCGTTACCAATAACCGTACAAAAACACAGGATGCGGGATAAACCAATGCTTTGATGCCTGAATTTTTTAAATGCTTGCTTGTTTGTTTTACTATAGTATTACATAAAGGTTAAAATTTAATTATTTTACCATACGACTTAAAGGTCACTCGTGATAATGACGTTTACGTTTAAACAATTCAATTATTCAATTCATGCAGAGTTTTATTTTCATTTTTTTACTTTTTTTATTACTTTACAATCTGTTCTATAATAAGGTGAACGGCAAGTAAATACCATGTAATACAACAAATTAACTTTTGAGCATTTAAAATAGCACTGTAAACAAAATTTTTTTGATAAAACACTAATACAGCAATAAAAGTTATGCAGAATTGAACGGGATTTTCTCTACCTGGTGAGCGGGAATTTTTGTTTTGTTTGTTTGCAAACACTGAATTGCAATTGAACATGAATGAGAATTGAGATTGAGATTGAGTCTGGAGTGAGAGTGAGAATGAGAAATGAGAATGACAGTTGACAGACGAAGACGTCGTCCGTCAGCACGTCAGCAGAGTTCAGTTTTTCAGTTCAGAGTCTAGAGTCTGAAACTTAAGTTTGCCAGTTTGCGTATTTTATGACTGCAGTCAAGTGTAAATTCGTTGGAATCTTTGTGTACAGTGCAGATAAATATTTTAATGTTAAAGGTTTTCACGGAAACCTTTAATCTCAAATGTGCCCTTACTTACATAGATTGCTTTAGTTTGCAACGGTCTTTCATACTGGTATGGTTGTAGTCTAACCTTTAATATACCTTTAATCTCCTTCAATTTTCTTTCTACAACACATTTTTTTTTAAACAAAGATCGAACATAAAAAATGCTTCTTATGAACAAACTTAAATCTTAAATTTTCTATAAATAAATGTTATTTAATGAACAATTGAGTTAGGCCTAACTTACTGTAGGTTACTTAGCGTTAGAATTACCTATGGTAGGTCAATACTTAACTTATGTCTCTGAAAATAGTTGAATACTTAGTTCTAGAACGTTCCTAGATCTTGGCTAATAAGTTACCGTACAGCCATCCTTAAACTGTGAACTTCTAATATTTTATTAGAAATGATAACTTGAATGTGTTAGCGAGCCCCTTTTTGCAACAGCAAACCCAATTAGGCCCTACTCATTCTGCCTTTTGCTGTTTTGTGAAAACTAAGTTAAATTTCTTTTTACAGTAATTCCCACACTTAAATTGGGGACCAGTAAAATGTTCGACAACTCGAAGTTAATGATTCATTCAAAATTTAAGTAAACTGTCAGATAACTTAGACTAAGCTTAAGTATTTTATCCTAAGCATAGAATAAATTTAAACACCATTTATATTACTTCATCTATGGCCTAAGTAAGTTAGGTACATCCTTTTGAAATCAAACAAACGAGATATCACTTTTAGTAGTAAGGCTGCGGCCACATGGGCGTTTTTTCACGCACAAACGTAGCGTGAAAACTCGTGAAAAATATGAGCAGTGTTAAATGTAATGGGGAGTGCCACACATAGAGTGTTTTCCCGCAGTAACGGGCGCCTATTAGTTTCAATGCTACTCTAATTTCTCGTGTGTTTTCACGCTGCGTTTGTGCGTGAAAAAACGCCCGTGTGGCCGCAGCCTAAGAGTCAACTTAAGTTTACATAGTACCTAGGCCTAATACAGTGAGTTACCCGGCATCTAAATTGGTGCCTCCAAATTTAACCAAAATTTATTTGAAAATTGAGAGATTAACATACAGCAGACTTGGGTGTTTTGTTGGCCCGTTTCCTCAACCATGGCCAAATTCGTTGATTAATAAGTTAACTTAATTACTCTTCAAATCGTCAAATGTTTCTCAAAAGCTGTAACTTCCAACTATTTGATAATTAACTTAACTAAGTACTGCACCACCCTTTTTTGTAATAGGTAGGCCTACCGTAAGTTAGTCGATAACTTAGTTGCTAATAAATATCGTAAATTTGATTAATCTTTCCAGATTAACTACCTAAGCCGAACAAGACTGGAATTTGAATCACTTCTAAAGACATTATACATATATGCAGTATCGTCTGTGCATATAAACAATAGGCTACCTTATTATCTTAATGGTCTTGTGTTAAGTTAGGCATTTGAAGTTGCAAATTCTTTATTCCTCAAAACACCAACGGTGGACACAGTGAATATTTTATGGTGTGAATTGAAAGACCAACTTGGAAATAATCTAAAAAACTGTTGTCGCATTAAAATGTTTGTGGGAGCTAAACCTGAACGTACTAAGTGGCACTACATCTCAACTTTGGTTAAAAAACAATTCCATTCTGATGGAATACCTGGTGAGTGTGAATTAATAATTTATTTATAAGTATTATGTTCCGAGTATCATACTGCATCACACATCTGATACCGTAGAGCTTTCAGCCATTTTTCTTGTCTTGTACTTGTACTTTGTAGTAGAAGTTTGTTCATTGAGCTACAGTCTTGGTTCCGATATTATCGGTCTTGGAGCTCAAAGGGTTAAAGTTACGGTACTCCCTAAGCACAATGAAACTTCAATAACGAGTCACCCTTGATAACAAGTGTCTTTCAAATCCCCTTGTATTTATTTGACCCCTAATCACATGCTATTCAAACCTCAATGAGAAGTCGACTTGGTCCAAGTCTTATTTAATAATCCCCATGAGAATCTTGTTATCGAGGGTCCACTTTACTCTCTGAGCTTGAAGATACCTAGGCCTATTTGTTTGGCTCCAGTCTTTTTTATTACATTCAGTCCAGGAGTGGAGTCATCCATTAAAATTTTAAGTTCTAAGTTTTAGACCTCTTTTAATCCATTTAAGCATGAATGTATATTCCTTTCTATACAAATTCTTGTGAATGATAAATTTCTCACATTATCTAAGGCTCCCACAGTCACACTCAACTACAATATCGCTGTCTTAAAGAGAAAACCTTATAGTCGTATTAAAGTAAACTTGATCTGACGTTTTGCCTCCATTGCAAATTACCATCTTTAGAGCAGTAAATGGGGCTCTAGATGTAGTTGTAGTGGGGTTTTCTCGTTTCCCAATCTACTATGGTTGTACCTTTTTCTTGAATTAATTTAATGCTTGTATTGGCATTGACTAACAATTGCTACTTAAATTTACGATAGTTTGCCTGCGTCTAAACATGTGCATTAAGTTCTTTAAATGTGCAATTATCTCAGTGCATTAAAGGATCTATTGCGGCAGCAATGATAACTGTCTTGTACTAAAAAAAATAAGATGCAAGTTATTAATTACTCTGTGATTCCTAGACATTTAAACATCTCAATGTTTTAGTTAAAACCAGGCAAGTCTACTGGTTGTACTTGATATACTTTTTGATATACTTTGGTCTACACATTAATGAAAATGGTAATGTTTCCTATATATTTTATGCTACCTACTGGTTTAAAGGATTGACAATTCCCTTGAAATTATTTTCCCGCTTCCCCTTTTTTTGCTCTTGTTCGTGTCTACATTAGGGGCATGTTGTGTTGAAGAATCACAAACATTTTTAAGAATCACAAAAGAGGTCTGAAACACTTAAATTTTTATAAAATAATAGTGGTTTAGTTACCTTTACTTTCGTCCCAGTTCAATAAAAAGTTGTAATATCTACAACCATGGTTTTCGACGCTAGTTGCGTCATGGTCACGTAGTTAGCCACGTCAAGTCGAGAAGTATCTTGTCATAGTCGGTCGCTTGGACGTCGTCATATTTACACAAACACGGACACGGACATAAACACACACGTACATTGATTAAAATAAAAGGTTCTCGTGGACGGAACACAGGCCTGTGGTGAACAGTTAATTTGTACCGTCGCGGGAGCCGGCTGGAGAACACTCATACTTCTCGACTTGCTAACTACGTGACCATGACGCAACTAGCGTCGAAACCATGGTTGTAGATATTACAACTTTTTATTGAACTGGGACGAAAGTAAAGGTAACTAAACCACTATTATTTTATATTTGTCTTACCAGTTCAGGGGCAAGCCACAACAATGAGTAAACTTAAATTTTTGTTCAAATGCCAGCAGTTGAACTCGGCCATCTAGAACTGAAGTCCAAGACGCTAACAACTCTGAGGTTAGCAACAAACCCAGAAACAGTTGTGTTTCACTTACATTATATTTATGATGGTTTTGCAGGAGGAGTGAAGATGGCGTGCAGCTCTGTAGCCTTGGCGTTGGTGTTGTGGATAGTAGTTCAGTTCAGCAGCCAATCAGGTATGACTGCTGTTCTAGAGGCTGCTTCAGCTGTCAGGATGCCAGTCAACACCATCCAGTCATACCTTAATAACTATGCAGGTCAGTAGGGCCTAGTTTGGTCACAACAATAATCGATATTTATGATTTTAAAATTATTTGGGGAACAGTTTTGGGACCCATCAATTACAGTACCCGATAATATGTCCATACAGCAAACAAATATTGAAATTGAGGCTTGAATCCAATTAATACTCCAATTTCTCTTGCCATAAGTTCTCTGGTGATCTTGATCCCTTGATATCCCTTGAAAATAATAACCAAGCCTAGTAACAAATTTTGGTCATGTTCATGAATTACTTGTTTAAGTACCTGTTACTAAATAGTAATGTCATACATTTTTGTTACAGAATTTTGTTTAAAATATGTTTGAATTAATAGGCCTTGTTGTAGGCTGAAATTTACCTTTCCGATGACACTGTAGACACACATTCCTGAGTACTACAAGAGGCTTAGCAATACCAGTCAAGTTCTATACTTTCCTGGCAATTCTTATGTTTTGAATTACTTCTGAACACCTCAGGAGTAGATAAGTAGAAGTAGTAGTAGTAGTAGAAGTAATGCAAAACATAGGATCCTACTGAGGATCTAAAAAGAAGTCTGAATCATCTGAAGTTTGATAACAATCATTAGATGGCTACACGTTTCAAAACCACACATCAGGTGTGCAAAATTACTAAACTATAGCACCAACTGTACTAATCGATTAAGGATTAAAGATTAAAGCAAAAACACCTGTAGTTAAAGAAGAGCTCAACAAACAGGTTGTGACCTTTTTTTATGTGACCATGGACAAAGCAGTATGTGTAATTACGATCCAAAGTCCGATCTAAACGGATCCGGACAAGAAATACACTATTGTAGCCAATATGTTTAGGTCAAGTAATTTTGAACACGTTGCTTAATTAAATGTCTCTCATAAAATCCAAGACTTTGTCTGCGCAGATCCCCCAATTAAACCCACCTCAATGCCCATAGTTTAAAGTAATGCTTGTTGTATTTAATTAAATGCATATGTTGTTTGAGGATACAAATATACTTGTATACGTAAATCCAATTTGAGGAGTATTTACTGTTTGGCGAGTTGCCACAAAGAGGTAAAATGAATCGGTTAGTGTTTCAAGTGGTCATCATTTAAAAAATATTTAGTGAGTTTGGTGAAAACAGCAACCACTAATTTCAACCTATTATTTTTTTAAGAATAGAAAAATGTCTGTGTAATTTGGATTTTCCTTATTTTTAGTTATTCAGTGACTGGGACGGTGGCGTCATCCTGTAATTCAGCTCCTAGGAGGTCACGAATTAGGGATATTTATAGGCATGCACAGTTGATGCGATACTCCCTGGTGTGGATTAACGTCCGCACTAGTGAGTACTGTGACTAACCACATCCTAGTTAGACCAATTCGTTAATAACAAGGCAAAAATGTGGTTTGGATTCCACTATAAACTGTAGGTCCATTAGTTGCCATTAGCTGTATGGGCTATTAATGAACAGCTGTGTCTAAGGAATATGTCTGCCTTAAGGCTGTGTCACACTAGGCTACTTACTAGCTGCTATTTAGTAGCGGCTAGTGAAGTAGCCGCTAGTAAAAGCTGTCACACAACAAATGTCGGTAGCGGCTACCTAGTAGCAGCGATTCAGCCAGTCAGTGTCAATCCTGTGAAAATGTCGTCTGTTGGTATAAGCCGGGTTGAATTACGGCGTTTAATTTTGATGTGCGTTAGTGATGTTTGTTTCTTTTTGAGCCCATCTTCTTGCACCGCAAACCGGAATAGTCTAATTCCTGCATCAGTTGTGCAAATGCCTGTCTTTTTACTTCCCGCTTTAAATAATCAGGGCACTTAATATCCCAAAGGCATTGATATTTCCAATAAATGTTTAAAAAGTTAATTATGTCCCCACCGGACCACTTCACTTCACTCATTTTTCACAAATTTTAATTGAAACCAACTTTTCCACAACAAACCAAACCCAAACATGCACAGCCACTAGCCGCTACTACGCTAGTACACATGTCACACCGGCTACTCGGTAGCCGCTAGTCAATCACGTGACTCACTAGCCGCTAGTTAGTAGCTCGGAAAATTGGACATGTTCAATTCTCGACGCTAGTGAAATGAGACTAGCGCGCTACTCCTACCAGCCGCTACTGCCTATGTCAGATTGGCTATGAGTAGCCGCTATTTCGCTAGCGGCTAGTAAAGTAGCCTAGTGTGACACAGCCTTTAGTCACTAACAAGACTACAAGATCGTGTCACTCATCCTACACTCATCTCCATCCATACTTGGCTTAAAATACCTACTTTGTATGGTCGCCATTTCAATGAAAAGTATTAACAGTGTTAAAGTATACATAATTAAAAATACCATCAAACCAATTCTGATTCACAGACTGGCACAGTTCTGACAGAGTGAGAAGAGGGGCCAAACGTCTCCCACAGCTAGAAAACAAAGAGCTTCACTCGACCATTTCCTTTGTGGAGAATCAGTTGACCATGATGGGAAGACACGAGAAGAACATCATGAGCTCAGATGTGAGGGTAAAGCTAGGATCTGTGCTGCACGGAGCTTACATCGAGTCTCTGCCAACGTCTGATGCTCTCGTCCATGGCAAAGATGCATTTGTGGCACTGAAAGCCAGCCAGCATATTGGCAGCAAGTATTGTAACAGGTCAGTTAGTTAACCAAATTTATAATCGACTATTGCTTTGTTATTTTCAAAGATCAAATACTCTTTGTTGATAATGCTTAGTACATTACAATGGATACATTATAAATAGATAGGTAATAATTGCCCACAACATTGGGGGGCCCTCCCTTCCCCCCTGAACCCGACACTCAAAACGGTGTAACTTTTAACTATACAATATAAACGCAGCCAAAAGAGAAAAAAAAAACCTTAATAAAATCTTAAGTTGTTTTGGGGACTGGGGTTAACAGTTAGGAGTCGAAAGTAAGCCTTTACTTTGGATGTTAAGATAAGGCAGATTATTTTAACTAATTCCAACATTCTAAACTGATTTGTAGAAAACGTTGGTATACGGTAGGCTACGGTGCCTACCTAACACCTAATTTAAGCATACCACATTATAGTAAAAATAAAATCATCACAGGAGTAAAATGTGTAAATAAATCTACAAATATTATGTTAAAAGCCATGCGGAAATAATAAATTATACAAATTTGGATTTGTGTTGTGGTGGTGTTGTGTTGTGGTGTTCATTGGTGAAAGGGGGGATTTGTGCCACTGCACCAGGTGGAAAATATGTCTACCACTGTGACAGCATGGATATTATTTTTCAAACGACATCATAACATCATAAAAATCATATTAGCCTATATAATAATATTATAACATCATACATCTATTTTGGCAAATACTTGTAATTTACATTAAGTTATGTACTTATAATTTCTTTCAATTATTGTACAGCTTTTCCAGATAGTTTTTATTATCATTACAGTATATTTTATTTAACATATTAAAAACATTCCATGTATTCTAATGTAGTAAATATTTTATTGGATTTACACAATTACATGATTCACAAATGAATCTCATTAATTCCGTTTGGTTTTAGGGTATGGTTGGTTATCAAACCAAGGTAAATTTCAATCTTGTGTTTAGACTGGGCATCGACGACAGAAACTGTGCTTTGCTAGTCTCAAAATTTTCGCTCAACCCAACGAGTCTTGGAACCAAGTGTGCCAACCATTACCGTCAGGCAGTGTTTTGCTCAGATGTTGCAAAGTACCGGACCAATGATGGTTCTTGCAACCACCCCCACCATCCTGCTTGGGGTCAGGCACTCACTGCCTACAGTCGGTTCCTACCCTCGCATTATGATGATGGTGAGTTTTAACACCATTCTACGTACTATAGATGTAAGAAGTAATATAATCTTAAAGCAGTGATTCAAGCGGTAAGGAGTAAGCACTCGAGATTACTAGCTGGTGCCACCCCTTGCATTCTTGCCACAACTTGTTTTTGTTTAGTTATCCTTAAGTTTTGAGCTGATATCAACATGTTTTAAGCTAATATTAAGGTTTGAGACCTCAAAAGAGTGTTCTAATGTCAAATTTTTTTTACATAATGTTTCATTTTACAATGTTTTTACCCTGAAGATTAAAACCCACTCTCAATGTGTTGAGGTTTGAGGATTAGTGCTGCAACCCAGTCAGACTATTAGACTAGTTCATCATCGCCTTGTACATAGTTTTGTTCACATATTGTCCCATAAAGCTATGGCTATTTAATCAGTGTTAAATCTGTGCTGGTTTAAGTTTGAATCTTGAAACTTAACAAAAAAATCACAAAACTAAAACTTTTCCAAAATTTTTTTGGTTTTGATTTAAGATTCGGTTTTGACACGGAACTAGAATCAACAATAAGTTACAATTCAATAGCCCGTATTCTGTTAGTGTTGTAAAATAACAATTTAATCTTAGAAAGTGTTCACCTATTGAAGTTTTTATTTATGTTAAAAAGACAGTAAAAATGTTGAGTTTAATAAAAGAAAATGTAAAGCATTGATGGCTGCTGCAAATAGGCAGAAATCAAATATCCATCCAATAACCATTAAAAAGCTATCTAGAGTAAATCAAATATCTGAACGATATACAAGGACATACTTTTCTTTGCCATTTGATTTAAAAAAGTTTTTTAATAAATTGTTGGTCTCATGAGTTCTTTTTCTTTTCTAAATGCCACATGGGAAATGTCTACAATAGTTTATTAAATGCAAACTATCTATAATTGACAATGAACTTAAAAAGTATGAATCTGTTACTCAGGGTTCCAGAAACCTCGAGGTTCGACTCTTACCAGAGAGCTGCCGAGTGCTAGACTGATCAGTACGACCCTGAGTCAAGGGCTGGACTCCCCAGACACAAGTATCACCTTGGCAGCCCTTCAGTGGGGCCAGTTTGTGGCAGAAGATATGACACACACAGCTGTTTCAAAAATGTGTAAGTATTGCTGTAGTCTTGACTATCTGAGCTAAACCAGCCACTGCGAGGTAAGAAGGAAGAATGTTTAAATGGCATAGAAGATAAAATCATCAAAGAATCTATTTTCCATGTTTTTTTTTAACCTATCCAAGGCTTAAAATTATGCCCTCCACTACTAAGTTTTCTGTATTAAGACAGTCATCACAAGTACCGTAAAAAACAAACAAAGTAAAAATACAACTACTGTAGTAATTTATAAGATTATGCGATACTCGTCCACTCAACCACAGATTGCACTATGATAAAATGTAGGATTACAGAGAGGTATTAAGGAATGTTTTAACGAACTGTGGTATGCAGTTTGTAACGATCAAAAAGTAGTTAAGAGTAAAGTGCAAGGGTTATGTATTTTCAACAGGAGGGAAAAGGATTGTCTTTACGTTCCCAGTACATTGTATACTCATATATTGTAAATAGAAACAATTTCACATTTAGACCCCGATTAACCACAATGAGTGACAGTGAACATTCTTTACCAAACTCCAAACAACAATAATAACCCTTGTATAGAGTGTTTTCATGGCATTATCTTTCATTACATTTGACCCAAACTTGTCGTACATCTATGTGCATTTGCTTGGCTTCCCTATTTTACTTACAAATTTTCCTGTTGCAGTTGTCTAGATGAATATGTGAAATACAAAAAAAGGTTGTTAATGTTTGTGTGGTTTTAGTTGTTTGTAATAAGTTGTTCTGCATAGGATGATTTTTGGAGCAGTAACGGTTTAGGTGATTAGTTGCACTTTTAACAAAGTGAAATTAATCTTTGTAATGTGATTTCCCATTGTTGTGTTGTATTCACAAATAATTTTGTGGACGCCAACTTTACTAGATTAATCCTGGGTCTACTTGAATGCTCTTTTAGTAATGATCCATGTATTAGAATGATACTGACATATTGGTTAGCCAGTTCATTCTTTGATGTGTGATTTCATTTACAAGGGATGTTAGTTAGTTATAATTCTTTTAGTAGCTGTTTGTTTTTCTTTTGGATATGTGGAGCTAATAATTTAAACACTTTTTTACTTCTGAATCTATTATAAACTTTTTGTGCTTTTATATTGATTGTTATTCAGAGATGATCAGACACGATAATATTGAATCTTAAGAATAACATGAAGATGGGGCTGACTTCTAGTTTTGGAAACAATCAGAATAGGATAATTTATCTTGCCATATTTTTTGGATATTTTTAAATAATTGTATTAAACTTTTGCTACAAGTAACAATACATTAATATCCTTTGTACTCTGATTTACTTGGCTGACAATATTTGAGGTAGGCTACATTAACTAAATTTTTCCTAATCACACAAATGTTGTAGATATGTCTCTTGCGATTAGGATAATATTAAGGGATTCCCACTCTAACAAGTCCTAAAATTAACAGGATCTTGGAAAAAATCTTAAATCTTCCAAACTTTTGATTTGTTGACAATCTCTACAATATCTGTTGATTTTCGTTCGTTTGTTAAGTTTAGTCATGAGATTGTTTTTTCTTTTTAAGTCAAGCCTTAAAACTAGGGATGGACGGGATTGAATTTTTAGTTCGGGACGGGACGGGACGGGATTTTTATTTCCTTCCCAATTTTCGGGACGGGACGGGACGGGATTTTTTCTGTGCATAAAAAGAAAGTCTTGAGTATTGCAGTTACCAAAAAAAAGACTTACAAAATCAATTTTTACCGTTTGTGGTACTGATCTATAAAAACCAAAAAAATGGGTAACAATATACAGGTACCTATAGAAACTTGTGACTCGCGGTCACGGTGCGATCGTCAAAATGACCGAGGTCACGGGGTGATCGTCGGTATGACTCGCGGTCACGGCATGATCGTCAGTATGACTCATGGTCACGGCGAGTTCGTCGGTGGGACTCCACGGTCACGTCGTGATCATCGGTATGACTCCGCGGTCACGGAGCTATCGCCGGTATGCCTCGCAGTCACCGCATGATCGTCGGCATGACTCCGTGGTCAAGACGTGATCGTCGGCATGACTCCGCGGTTACGGCGCGATCGTCGGTATGACTCGCGGTCACGGGGTGATCGCCGGTATGACTCGTGGTCACGGCATGATCGTCGGTAGGACTCCACAGTTACGGCGCGATCGTCGATAGGACTCCGCGGTTACGGCGCGATCGTCGGTATGACTCGCGGTCACGGCGCGATCGTTTGTAGGACTCCACGGTCACGTCGTGATCGTCGGTATGACTCGCGGTCACGTCGTGATCGTCGGTATGACTCGCGGTCACGGCATGATCTACGGTAGGACTCCACGGTCACGGCGCGATCGTCGATAGGACTCCGCGGTCACGGCGCGATCGTCGGTATGACTCGCGGTCACGGCGCGATCGTTGGTAGGACTCCACGGTCACGTCGTGATCGTCGGTATGACTCGCGGTCATGGCATGATCGTCGGCATGTCTCCGCGGTCACGGCGCGATCGTCGGTAGGACTCCGCGGTCACAACACGATTGTCGGTAGGACTCCGCGGTCACGGCGCGATCGTCGAAATGACTTCGTCTCCTGCGTTCGCGGACCTATAGCGGCGTCATCAGCACTCGCGAAGCGGCAAAATCGCCAACGATCGGACCTAATCCCGTCCCGAAAAATTCCCGATTAAAATGTAATCCCGTCCCGATAATCGGGAATATTTTTTTCCCGAAAAATTCCCGAAATTTTGGGACCCGTCCATCCCTACTTAAAACAATAACAATTGTGTGTAATTATTTTCCTGAATTCAAACACACACAAGTGTTAGTTAACATAAGCTTTCTTTGGTTGACGATGAACTGTACATAGATTTCATCAGCACATGGCTTATAATGTATGATCTTATCTCTTATGATGAAAGACCTTCTTGTATGGTTCGACGTTGGGTTGTTTGTGACCTACTGCCTGCCAAAGTGCAATATCTGAATCTTTTAATGAGTTATTTAAAGCAATTGTATTTAGTGAATTAATTTAAATGTTGGCTTCTTTGTATGAGAAAAACAATATTTGTTGTTTTGTAAATAGACTGAACCCTCCTTCATGCCAAGGAAAAAGTTACTCTCCTCTTTTAGTAGTAATCCCCCCCCCCCAAAAAAAAAAAATTGTGTGCCAATAAATATCAGTACAGTACCAACATGGATACCAATATAATCAATGTCTGTACAGGGACCACTGGAGGGAGCATTGCCTGCTGTGATGTTGAAAACCGTAAGCTTTCTCCTCGGCACGTCCATCCCCTGTGTTTCTCCATTGAGATTCCCTCTGATGACCCGGTGTATTCAGCCAGCCGACAAAGCTGCATGTCATACGTCCGCAGTCTTCCAGCCATGCGATCTGATTGTACATTCGGCCCTTTGGAACAGGTACAGTAGAATCTTGCCATTCTATTTACTACTGCTGTAAGAAAGTGCACATATTAAATGGCATGGATAATGTAAGAAGGACATAATAAAAAATACCTCCTTAGCAAACCTGCATTTATCTGATAAGATTTTCTCAAAACTATTTCATAAGATTCATTCCCTATTTTAATAAGATTAGGTTTAAAGAGTTCTTAGGTTTACTGCTACAGGGAAGGTGATAACGTGCCTTTTAAGTAAATGTCAATAGCTTAGTATAAAATAAATATATTTACCAAATATTATTGAACCTGAATATCCTATTTTATCCATTTTGAGCCATAACTATCCATCACAAATACTATCCGAACTGAAATTCCACTAGCCGCACACCTGTCAAACAATACAGTGTAACATAACCTCAAAGGTAAAGAAGTAAGTGATCTAGTACACCCCTCTTCGGTGAGAAACTAAACTTTCAAGATGAATCTAGGTCATTTGCTCGCAGCGATGTGATTTGTCCTCCAAGACCAGCCGGACAATTTGGTGGCCGATCCAAACAAGCCAAACTGAAGGGCGGCTACGGCTACTGTAGCAAATTTGTCCATTTATTTATTTGCCCCCAAAAATTCAAAATTGAAAAACAATGACATTCAAACATTTATTTAATTAAAATTGTATGTTTCAGCTGAACCAAGCAACTCATTTACTGGATGGCTCTATGGTGTATGGCAACAGTGTAGAGAAGGCCAACTCTCTAAGATCTCGAGTGTTTGGGCGACTACGGACTGTACTCAAACATGGCAGAGAGTTTCTTCCCACTATCGACAACCTCAATGTCAACTGTCATGTCGGAAAGAATAGCACATGCTATCAGACTGGTAAACTTGAGTTTTGGTTTATACTAATGTAGGTCCCATCAAGTGCGGGGATTTTGTGAAATATTTTAGATTAAAGTTCATGTGTATGCAAGATCTAAAATTATTTTAACACAGATAATTTACCTTTTTCTAAAAATGGATTTAATCATTGTTTCATCAATCTGATCTTATATTTGGAGAGGACATACATAAAAAAGTAGTGTGGATTAAATTGTGTTGAATCGTGATTTATCCTATTTTTTTGTACTAGTTAGCATAATTATTTTTCACCACGTGTATTAAAAGAAAGATATTTTTATCAAACTAAGCTGCAATTAAATTCTGTTTCTAAAATATATGGTGGATGGGATAGCTTTCTCATGCAGTAGAGTTGTTTTAAAGAAACAAATTGTTCCCTTCCGTGTCTTTTCCCCTTTGCAAAGCAAGGTTATAGTGGCTAGTTTTCTTAGAAACCCTTGATAATTTGCAGGTGACACAAGGGTCAATGTTCAACCCCATCTCGCAGTGATGCACACGTTGTGGGTGAGAGAACACAACCGTGTTGCTGAAAGGTTGGCAGCCCTGAACCCCCACTGGAGTGATGAGCGGCTCTACCAGGAGGCTCGTAGGATCGTAGTAGCTGAGATTCAACATATCACTTACAATGAGTGGCTTCCTGCCGTTTTAGGTTGGTAAAATCAATATTATTTACCTCTAAACATTGTTTAACTTTCTTAGCTCCAGAAATAATTTAGTATTTTATTTTAAATCACAATTTTCCCTCATCCATTAAAGACAAAAATCCTTGGTCGTATAAAACAGATTTTCAAAGGACACACGTGGTAAGGATGAGTAAAAAATAAGCAAAATGCCTGATCACTCATGTAACTCACAAGTATACCACCCTATCCTATCAACTGTGTATGTTTATTTTAGCACGGTAAACAGGGAAAATAAAAAATATAATAAAATGAAGATTTCAGTTAAAACTATAATTGACATTTTTAATTTATTCCAGATGTTTGTCGTAACCAAATGTTTTGGTTGTCTTGAGTAGCCTATATCAAGTGAAGTATGATTTATTTTCATGGAAAAATTTAGTTTTCTAGCCTATACAGAAAACAATTTACTCTTATTAATTTGGACACTCTTATTGCAATCATTTAATGCCGGTTTAACTTATTTTCTTTCATTAATTTGGACACTCTTACTGCAATCAGTAATACCCATTTTATGTCGGTTGAACTGTTATCATATCATGTTGTATTCTCAGGTCTGAAATTCATGAGGGGAGAGCCATTGCTACAGCCCAAAGCTTCAGGTTACAGCAACCTGTATAAGGACAACGTGAACCCTGGAGTCAGTAACAGCTTTGCCTCCGCTGCTTTGCGATCATTTAACTCCATGTTGGAGGATCAAGTCAGGTAGTCAACAAATCTATACCACAAATACAAATGTCTTTTTAAATGCTGCCTCATCTATGAATAATGTCAGGTAGCCTACAAATGTTAAACAGTTACGTTTTGTTTGAAGAATTATTAAAGTTATTTTTCATCAGGATTAGTAAAAATTAGGTTTTCAAGAAATCCTTCAAATACCATAAATACCATAAACCCATTATCACACAAAAATCAACTTCAAATAAAGAATTACTTGCCGTTTCTTTTCAAATACAGTCTTAATTTATGGAACAAACTTGGGTAATCTACAAACCTTATCCACCTCAAACAGGATATTTCTTTAAAATGCAGCCCAAATTAGAGATAAAGTCAAAGTCTGTATTACTCAACTGCTGTATTACCGTACTACTGTCTGTTCGGGGGCCTCTCTTGGGGCCTTTTTTGCTTAAAAAATTAACTTCACTGATAAAATCTGTTTGGGGGTTTTATTTTTGAGGCAACCTTTTATTCTCGTTTCACAACCCAATAGGCTGCAGGCTGGGTCGTCTATCGTAATACCTATCGTTGCTAGAGTGAACGACTCTAAACTGTAACCACAGTCTAGAGTTACACTTCCCAGTGGCCACTGTCCTACTGGGCATAATCACCAAAAAGTATAATTTTTAGAAGTTGAAAACAAAATATCTAATAATACTTTCATTTAACCTACTACTGGAACTAATTGACTCAACTTAACTTTGAGTACTCGTAAAAATCCCCATTCCTAAAAAAAACAAGCAAACTCTTTTAGATCTGTCACAGATAATAGACTGTATAATTATTGTTGATAGGTTGTACAATGAGCATCGCAGCCCGATGATAGAACCGATGAATCTGCAGAGATTGCACAGCCGAGAGACGATGCACAAGGATGACAAGTTGGATGCTCTTGTGCGAGGTTTAGCCACTCAGAGCGCTCAGAAGATGGATCTTCACCATTCACACAGAGTAAGTCAAATTGAATAGTTCTTGATTTCATAAAACTTATTGGTGGCATCATTTAACGCCGATAACAAAACAGTTGACCTAGTTGAAACCAAGTATGTATCGATTCTCAGATACTTAGACATTGGTATCGGTATCGAGAATCGATTGTCAAAGTCGATACTGATACCAATATATACGTCTGCGAAGATTGCTATCGTAAAATTATCCCTTATGACACATGATGACGATGTCGTTTCCGTAGCCGCAGGAGACGACAATATGTTTATACGACTGCTGGAGATGATCAGAATTTTGCCAAGAACGCGGAAGACGACGATATTGTCTACACAATCGCGGGACACAATAATGATGTGCATACGGGCACGGGAGATAATCAGAATTTTGCGGAATCAAAGATTACGAAAGAGAACGATAATGTCTACCATTTGGTTGTAAGATGGTTCTACTTCATTTGTTCCTCCGTTCCCTTCACAGTTTACATTACCATTACCAGCTATAATTTTCCAATAGAAAACAATACTTACTTTGTTGAATATGAATATTAAAATGTCTACAAATCAAATCAAATGTGATATCAAAAAAATTATTCTTTTTGCTCCGGTGCCACTTTGACTGGTGACACAGGTCTGATATTTTCTATGTATTTATTTACCCTCTTAAATTTGAACAAAACTGTAAATGAAGCTATATCCTTCAACTATCAGACATGTTGTGACTATAGTATTTTTTGCAGTTCCAGCACAAGTTGTTCTCTTTGTCGGAAGATGCAAGTTGGGGCTTGGACGGCCTAAGTCTGGACATACAGAGAGGACGAGACCACGGATTGCCTTCCTACAACTCATTCCGAGACAAATGTGGCATTAGGAAGGCCAGATACTTTGATGATCTAGCTGACACTATTCCTACCCAGGTACCTAATAAGTTTCAACCACCACTCAGGTTATATACAACTTAAGAATATCCCCAATTCCTCATGAAAATTCCCAGTATTTTAGTCCCAAATATCCCGGAAACCCTAGTGTATTTTACCATGTATCCCCAATTTTCTAACTTTTTTTTACCCTTGAGGTATTTCATGCTGACCTGTTGGAATTGTGTTGTCAGCTAATTTTATTTTTCTGTGAACTGCGATGTGCTCGGTAAACAAACTACAAAGCAACATCTTTGGTCAGCTAAGCTAAAAGCAATCGTGACATAGAAAAAGTAGTAAAATTTGCCCCTGTTGCAAAAATGTTGCACATAATTTTATTATATACATAAAAATCCTTTAAAAATTGATGGTTAAGATCCCATAAAACCCTTTAAAATTACATAAATATTGTTTTGCTGGTACTGTGAAAAATAAAAATAAAACTGCTTGAATAAAAAATTACAATATTTTATGTTATAGACCTTTTAACTTTTAACAAAATGGTACAACCCCCATTTCTGTAAAAAGCATGATTCAAATGTTGCAACTCTTGTGTTTTGCCCATAACTCCCATTATTGTCACATGTAATATTTTTGCAGACAATATCCCAGCTGAAGAAGCTGTACAAGAGTGTGGACGACATAGACCTGTTGGTGGGAGGAATGGCAGAATACGCGTCTGAGGGAGTGGTAGGCCCTGTGTTCAAGTGCATCATCGCAGAACAGTTCAAACGAACCAGAACTGGTGATAGATTCTTCTATGACAATGGCTTTGTACCCGGTGCCTTCACTGAAAGTAAGTCATAGATTTATACCATTGACTTAAAAGTAGACATAGGCTACCATCTATACGGAACAGCTGTAGATACATTTGTTTCAAATATCGTAGAAAAGAGTTGAGCCTTTCACAGAGTGTGCTATTCAGTGTTGCCACCCGTCCCGACTCTGTCGTTGGACCTTTAGCCTGTGTTTACACCTATGCTTATCCTAGAGAAGGGGAGACCCGTCTCGATTTTTCCCTAACCAAAAGTGGCAACCCTGATGAAAAAGTTCTAGACTCCCTTAGTTTTTGGCAGGTACTATGATGGTTTGATACAATTTTATAAATTTTAGGTTGTTGTACAATTCAGTAATTTTTTGCCTATTAACCTACTGGAAAAAGGAAACCCCATTATTTTGTTTCTTATAACTGGTTTTAGTCACTCCCATTACAAAATCTACTATTTTCCTCCTATAAATTTACTTAAAATAAACAAGCATGTAAACTTTCAAAAAGAAGTTTTCCTCAAAAAAGCTAAAAAAGGGTTCATAACATAGCCTAAAGTATTTTTTAAAGTTTGTAAAAAAACTCTTAATGCTGTAGAACTTAAAAAAAAATTCAAATTAACAAATTATTATTTACACACCCTTATATTGCACAACCCTCCCTTACCCCTTCCAATATTCGTTAAAACTAATTATTTTTTAAAGATCCACAATGATAAACATAAGTTTCACATTGACAGAACTAAAGTGTTCAATAAAAATGGTAATTTTATAGCAAAACAACAATGTTCAATGTTCAATGTTTGTGGAAACCGTAAAATTATGTTGGTTTATCAAAATATAAAAGTATTGTCATGAACTATAACTGGAAAATGATTGTAAAACCAAAGTTATCAAGGTCAGGAGTTACATTCAACAATTAGATTCCCTGGTAAATTAGTGTATGCTGCAGTTACATTTTACATGTGCATTTTTTTTCATGTACATTTTCTGAGCAAACTATTATCAGTGAGTTTCAATGTTTCAGGTCAATTAAACGAGATCAAGCAAGCAACGTTGGCCCGAGTGTTCTGTGATAATACCAACAATGTTCTCACCATGCAACCATATGTGTTCAACAAGCCCCTTACCCCAAGGTAGGCTACTGCTGTTTGTTATACTTTCGTGGTGGAAAATATTTCAAATACGATATCGAAAATTTCATGTATAAAAAGTATTAGAGACGTTGAACATTGCTAATTAAATTTACGCTTTTTTCAGACTATTTCAACTTTAGAGCATATATTCTTCCTTAAGTTTGGGGGAACTATGTAGAATTCTTAAAACGTCCACAAATATTTAAAATATTTATAATTGCAATAGTATAAAATAAAACTTGATTATAATAGTATAAAAAGTGTGAGTGATAAAAGTTTGTGGTTAAATATAATTTTGTATATGGGGAATAAATCTAACATGCTTTAGGTAATATTTCAGTAAAAATCCAATCAGACAATGGAAATTCGCTTAATCTACGGCAGCAGGAGTGTTTACTTTTTTATCGGTTACGGTTATGTGACCCATCTGTTTACCCAAACTTGCTGTGGCTAACTTAGTTTAGATAATACATTATAGAATCTATTTGTACTTTGAACTTTCTCTATGTAAATTACTAACTCTATTCTGATGTTTCTAAATTTACTTTGTTTCAAGAGTTAATGGGAAATTTATTTTGCAACTTATATTGCAGCAATGATTTGGCAGCATGCAGTGAGTCAATAAGGATTCGGCGCATGTCGTTGGACCCTTGGCTTGAAGAACCCCCTCATAGTGTGTTGGAAGGCATCTAACCAATTCAGATATTGTTTTGTTACTAGTCAGGGGGTTTGAAAACCCCAGCAAAGGTACAAGTAAAATTTAACTCTGTTTTATCATAAATAACAATGTGTGAAAGTCAATTGAAATATCTTTTAGAGTGAGAGGCTCATTTTTTAATTTACTCTTTTACAGATCTTTTATTCTGAAACTGTATTTCAGTTCTTGATCAATGGGTTTTATAAACAATTTTATCATTTATCTTTCTTTCCGATATAATATAGCTTCTAAGCGAGATTATATAATGCAATCTATTTCTGTTACCTTTAAATACTCTATAGAATCAGTGGCTTCAGATTTGTCCAAATCCAGTGAAGACCATTTAGATAATAAGAATATGATCTCAAGTACCTGAACAACTTTGATGTTTTTAATACTTTTCTAGTAATAATTCACATTCCACATAATCATTGCAAACAAAATAATTAGTTTTAATAATCTGATACATGACAACATGTCATTGGCTGTATATTTTGAGCAAATATGCTAAGGCAGAGCTTTGTTACCGTTTATAACCAAAAATATGTGACAAGTATTAGTTTAGTTTAAGTAGGACTAAGCAAGACTAAAAAACCTAGACAATATGAATTTGATCATTCAAACAATCCAGAGGGCTAACCAATAAAACTGGCTGGGTAGCTCAGTGGTCATAATCCGATCCTGACAATCTAAAGGTTGCCGGTTCGATCCTGAAAAAAGTCAGTAGCTTTTTGATGCTTTGAAACTGGACCCAGCTGTTCCTGATCATTTGACTTTAAATAAGTGATCCTGGCTAATGAAACAGCTGATCTTAGTCAGACAGAGATAATCTCACTCCATTCTACACTCATCCTTCACTCATATTTGGGTTAAAATTCGCACCTAGGTGGCGTCCCCTATCTCAATTGATAAATAATAATAATTGAAAAATCCCTAAAAGTAGCTAATTTATGATTTAAGGGAGAGTCAAAAGGTATAATTCTAGATGGTATCGTAAATGTTTGAAAAACCATAGAAAATTTGACATTATTACACTAATATTAATTTTTTTATCATACAATTTGCCAACCTAAATAATAAGATATTTTAAGCAGTACCTTTTCTAAACATTAATGGTAAGTTTAAATTTGTTCTTCCTCAATGTGCTCCTCAATGTGCTCAATACTTACTAAATATAATTTATCGGGATCACTCTACACACCATGTGTTATTTTTAGTGGTTAATTTAGATTTAGACCTAATGTAGTTTTGAGTATTTTATGTTAGAAGTGTTTACTATCGTGTTTTAGTTTAAAATAATTCATTAGAATATATTTCAATTTTAACAATCTAAATACAGGACTGGTCCAAGACATTAATTTAAATTATAAAACAACTTATTCCTTTAACTTCGTCAAACAATTTTTTTAACTAGCAGGATTAGTTTTGTTAAAAGGAGTCTTTGATTCTTGTTCATGCCCTTTTGCTGTGAATAAGCTTAAGACTCTGTATTTCTTAGGACTAGCCCTATTTCAACATTTTTGTTTGAAAAAGTAATGAACGTTCATTGACGTTCAATATTCTGTGCCATATCTTAGCACATTTCAAAAAGAGGGTCCTCAAAACGTCCAGAATTGGCATTTTGTTTTTTGAACCATTGCAGATAATGAAACAAAGCTTTGCACTTAAGTATCGTACCCGAAAATCTACAGTTATTTCTTGTTATCTATTGTTATTTAAAGCAACTATCAATTTCTACAATTAAAAGTATAAGTAACTTAATAGCAACTTAGCTCTGTTCAAAATGTTCATAATTTTGAACTGCCACTGTTTTAGCTAGGATTAACTTTCTGAAGTCAGGTTTACACTACTATGGTTCCCCAATAGAGTCCTTCAATTTAATGGCTACTCAAGTAAGATTTTGTTCAGACTCCTTGTGAGTCGACGAAATTCATATTTGCATCAAAAAGTAAATTTTAGGTAGGCCAGTTTTGTTTGCTGATTGTTGTTGCATTATTTCCAATGGTTCAAAAAATAAAAAGCCGTTCCCAGACTTTTTCACCCTGTAGAGCTTTTACTAAGCTTTATACTTTATACTCAGTGACAGAGGTATATACAGTGTCTTTCAATCCTGATTTTGCTCTATTGCATGATTTTTATATTCCTCCAATAAAGTTTTCTGGTTATGTACCTACACAAAAATAAAATATATCAGAATTGGAAGACAGTGAAGTTTATACCTATATTATAGCCCATTAAGTTATGAGACTTTATAAACAGTATTTTGATCTTTTTATGCTTGTTAGGTTAAGTAAATATTATTCAGACAAAAATTCCTAGCAGTGTCATGCTATTTTTTAGTTCTTTTTGTTTAAAAAATAAACTTGTATAAAGTGTATGATAATTTATTTTCCTTTTCTATAAATCCTCCATGTTGTTTAGCTGTTGCAAATTCAACAAATTCTTTCAATTCAAAATTCAATTCAAAACATCTTTATTCATTAGTATTTAATTGGGATTTAATTAAGAAAAACAAAGTATCTAGTGATGTAGTAGTACCAAAGATTGATTCAGACATTATAAATGATTACTTCATTAACTCTATTATTGATATAAAAAAAAAACTGGACAACCAAAGGACATGTAGCTCTTATTTGGACTTTGTAGATGAAAAATTGAATAAAAATAACACTGTATTTAGTTGGGATGAAATAACACCTAAAATGATAGTTAATGCAGTAAAGAAAATGAAAAATTCTAATAGTAAAGATGTGTATGGAATGTCAAACAAATTACTTAAAAGTATTATCCATAGTTTAGATGTACCCCTTGCTATGAGTACAAATGCATTGTTAAGGGAAGGATTATTTCCAGATTCAATGAAGATTTCTCGCGTTTGCCCGGTTTATAAGAAGGGCCCCAAAAACGAGCCCCAGAGTTATCGTCCTGTCTCAATTGTCCCAGTCCTTGGAAAATTAATTGAAATACTAGTCTATGAACAAATCAGTGAATATTTTGAGGCAAATGACTTGTTTAATGTTTCCCAATTTGGATTTAGAAAAGGAATGTCTACAATTGATGCTCTTGACAATCTCATCAGGCAAATTCATCAGTCCTTTGAAAGCAAGACCTTTGCTCAGGGCACCTTTTGTGACCTGAGCAAAGCATTTGATTGTGTTGACTTTGAAATTCTTATTAAAAAGTTAGAACTGTATGGGTTTAACGGATCTTCTCTAAATTTTCTTTCATCTTATTTAAAAAACCGGAAACAACTAGTAAATTGTAATGGGAAAAAGTCACAAGAAAGGGAAGTAACTTGGGGCGTTCCACAGGGATCAGTCCTTGGCCCACTTCTGTTTTTAATTTACATTAATGACCTTCCAATGGCAATAAATACTAAAACTATTCTGTACGCGGATGATACAACTTTTTTTCATGAAAACAATAACCAACTTGTACTTCAAAATTTAGTCCAAGTCACAAAATTAAACGCATCCAAATGGTTTCATGCCAATGGCTTTCTATTGAATGACTGTAAAACTCAAGAAATAAAATTTACATTGAAACACGATTCTGCCTTAAATAATGAAAATAGTGCTGTCACTACAAAATTTTTGGGTCTTCATATTGATAATAAACTATCCTGGAATGAGCATGTAAATTATTTGTCTACTAGACTATCTCGAGTAATTTTTCTTCTTGGTCGTCTCAAAGATGTAATTCCAAAGAACTATTTGAGATCGGCTTATTTTGCATATTTTCAGTCTGTAATGAGATATGGATTGATATTCTGGGGTGGGTGTGGACGAATTAATGAAATTTTAATCTTACAGAAGGGGGCTATCAGAGCTATGAATGGATCAGAGCCAGACGAGCACTGCAAGCCTCTTTTTAAGGATTTTAAGATTCAAACTGTAATAAATTTGTTTATTTATGATCTTGCCCTTTATATCTTAAAAAAACCCCATTACCTAAAATTCAATAATCATAATCACAATACCAGATTTAAAAATAGTGCCTTGTTAGAATCACATCGTCTGAGTAAGACTAGCAAGAGCCACATAGTGTTATCAACTAAAGTATATAACCTTTTAAAACACAATATTGATGCTTATCCGCAAGAAAAATTTAAGTCCTTGTTTTATAATTGGCTATTAGACAACCCTTCTTATAGCCTGGACGATTTGTTCAAATCTGGCCAAATAAATCTTTGATTGTATAACCCTGCTGCTAACCTGTTGCTTTATCAGGTCCTTATATTGTTGTTTGTATAGTCATTTGTACATATTTTAGTTATTAAGCCCTCTATTGTTTTTTCAAAATATTGAAAGTGTTTTGATTTTGTTTTGTTTGACAATTGATGTATAATCATGATTTTGACTTTGTCGATGATCTAATGTATCCTTATGACAAATAAAGATTTTTATTATTATTATTATTATTATACAAGAATTCATTCACTACTTCAATAACATTGTATACTACATGAACGTAATATCATTTGCTCAGTATAATGAGTTCTCAAAAGAGCTATTCAGAAAGTAAGGAACTTTTCCGAATAAAATGAAAAGTTTGTTCAACAAAAAAATATATACATTTAAACGAACAACTAAATACTACTTTCTACATAGTCGCCATAGAAATATAGGCACTAATAGCGGTGGGCGAGCTTTGAAATTCCTTTGTCATAAAAGGCCTGCAAGCCCAACTACAGTAGAACCTTCAAACTCAACAACTCAAACTGTATTTATACGTACTGAAGAGTAACTTTGGAAACAAAATAAAACAATTATAATGCACTTAAAGTACTGTATTTATTATTTGGCAATAAGTTTGATAAGGTACATGAAAAAACATGTTAAATAACAAAAAAAAAAAATAGTTTAAATACTGTACAAAATACAAAACAATAATACAGTATATATCATCCATACACGGAACTACATTTACTGTGTATAATGTCAGTTTGAAGCAAACGTTAGTCAAACTCTTCATATGTACTGTAAAAACAAGCTACTGTAACAACAAAAATACTGAATAGGTACAATACTGTACACACAAAAAGTATGTAGAGAGTAATATTTAAAGGGAAAACACTAGTGTGATTAAAATACTAAACAAAATGCAACGTAATGTAGTTAAGTACTAAATCTACTTTGGCAAAACGGGCAAACTACAACTAAAGGGCGAACTACACTGACTACAGTACCTAGCCGAACAGACACAGGAAGTTGGATTTTCACGTCTTGACAGGAATCAAGACACAACTGACTTGCACTGTTAAGGCAAAACTTCAAATTATTGAGGCACATTCGTGCGAACTTTGACTTATAAAGGTAAACTTCGGGTTACGGAGGCTCGATGACGGAAAAATTCGAGTTACAGAGGTAAAATGTTACTGTTCAAAAGTTGGTAAAATTTGACTTATTGAGGTTAAATATTTAGAAACTTCGACTTATAAAGGTAATTTTAATATTATGATTAGTGTGGATTTCAAGGGGATTAAAAAAAAATTGAGATATTGAGGTTCCAGTAATTGAGGTTCTACTGTACCAGGGACATGACATTTTAGCTCCTGGTGGTTGTCATCAAAGAGCT